AAAGGAAAAAGAAAGTGTGAGGGAGGGAGAAGAACGAGTGGGAGGAAGGGAGGTGAAAGAGAAGGAAGGAAGGAAGAATGTGAGAGAGGGAGAAGAAAGAATGGGAGGGAGGGAGGTGAAAAAGAGAAAGGAGGAAAGAATGGAAGGGACAAAGAGCGAGGGAGGGAGGAAAGGAAGGGACGTAGAAGAAAGAGTGGGAGGAAGGGAGGTGAAAGAGAAGGAAGGAAGAATGTGAGGGAGGGAGAAGAAAGAATGGGAGGGAGGTGAAAAAGAGAAAGGAGGAAAGAAGGGAAGGGACGAAGAGCGAGGGAGGGAGGAAAGGAAGGGACGTAGAAGAACGAGTGGGAGGAAGGGAGGTGAAAGAGAAGGAAGGAAGGAAGAATGTGAGGGAGGGAGAAGAAAGAATGGGAGGAAGGGAGGTGAAAAAGAGAAAGGAGGAAGGTAGGGAAGGGACGAAGAGCGAGGGAGGGAGGAAAGGAAGGGACGTAGAAGAAAGAGTGGGAGGAAGGGAGGTGAAAGAGAAGGAAGGAAGAATGTGAGGGAGGGAGAAGAAAGAATGGGAGGAAGGGAGGTGAAAAAGAGAAAGGAGGAAAGAAGGGAAGGGATGAAGAGCGAGGGAGGGAGGAAAGGATGGGAGGTAGAAGAAAGAGTGGGAGGAAGGGAGGTGAAAGAGAAGGAAGGAAGGAAGAATGGGAGGGAGGGAGAAGAAAGAATGGGAGGGAGGTGAAAAAGAGAAAGGAGGAAAGAAGGGAAGGGACGAAGAGCGAGGAAGGGAGAAAAAGGAAGGGAGGTAGCAGAAAGAGTGGGAGGAAGTGAGTGAAAGAAAAGGAAGGAAGAATGTGAGAGAGGGAGAAGAAAGAATGGGAAGAAGGGAGGTGAAAAAGAGAAAGGAAAGTAGGGAAGGGATGAAGAGCGAGGGAGGGAGGAAAGGAAGGGAGGTAGAAGAAAGAGTGGGAGGAAGGGGGGTGAAAGAGAAGGAAGGAAGAATGTGAGGGAGGGAGAAGAAAGAATGGGAGGAAGGGAGAAGAAAGTTGGAGGAAGGGAGGTGAAAGAGAAAGGAGGAAAGGAAGGAAGGAAGGAAGGGAAAAAAACTAAACAAATGAATAAATAGCTCGTTTGAAAACGAAGTCTTCCCTTTTACAAAGTAGGGGAAGGATATTTTAAAAATTCCCAATTACTTGCAGCTAATGATGTTTGGGGGTGTTTTTATTGCTACTCGAAAGGTGCATTTAACCGATAAGGGGAGTTGTAGTCTGGGCCCTTTGGAAGAAGAAGGCAGATTAAACTAGAGCTTTCAAAGTTAGCATCTGATCATTTTTTACTCAGTCGATTGCCTTTTCCCTCAGTGCCCTCGTCCACGGGGCTCTTTCAGAGGCCAACATTTGGAATTGGGAGCACAAACCAAGATTTCTCATGCCAAGGGGCAAATTTTAATTGCTGAGACGTCTCACGCGCTTTTTACATGCCGTTTTCCCTGCAGACGTCGAACGAGTGATAGGATTTGCGTCCGTGGACCTCTCCCCCCTGCTCTCCGGCTTCCAGTACGTCTGCGGCTGGTACGACATCACCGACCTGAGCGGTCAGTGCCGAGGGCAGGTGAAAGTCGCCATCTCCCCGCTCGAAAACATCACTCACCTGAAAGAAGAAAGGAAGGCGAGGAACTGCCAGGTAAAGGCATCCTCTCCACATAACCATTCCCCGTTTCCCTTTGGCGAGTCTGCTTGCTGCGAAAGTTTTTTTTTAGCTTCTGCCAAGCTCCTAATAAACTGGGATGTGGTGGCTCAGTGGCTAAGACGCTGAGCTTGTCGATCAGAAAGGTCGGTGCTTCGGCGGTTCGAATCCCTAGCGCCGTGTAATGGAGTGAGCTCCCGTGACTTGTCCCAGCTTCTGCCAACTTAGCAGTTCGAAAGCACGTTAAAAATGCAAGTAGAAAAATAGAAACCACCTTTGGAGGGAAAGGAACAGCGTTCCGTGCGTCTTCGGCATTTAGTCATGCCGGCCACATGACCACGGAGACGTCTTTGGACAGCGCTGGCTCTTTGGCTTTGAAATGGAGAGGAGCACTGCCCCCTAGAGTCGGGAATGGCTAGCATGCATGTGCGAGGGGAACCTTTACCTTTACTTTAATAAATTGATTGCCCGATTGTGGATTGTTGAGGTACCCACCTGTTCTGACCCCCCTCGTCCCACACCAACACACTCCAAGCCAAAGATACTTTACTGAATTTATTCACAGACAGACAGGTCCTTGGCAGCAATCCAGCACAGATAAACCTCGGCAATAATCCAGCCTGCCAAGCTCACAATAATGTTCTCCAACATTAGTTCCTGCGTTGACTTCTGCAAGAGGGGCGTGTACACAAGCAGTCCTTTTTATAGTCTGGAGAGGAG